CTACGAAAACACTTGACCCTTTGATTATTTTCACAAAGTGGGAGTTTGACAGTACTGCTGAGATACTAGGGAAAACCCCTTTGGAAACACCCAAGCTATAAAGCTTTCTTCTCCTGGAAATTAATGTGCCTTCAAGAAATGTGAAGTACACAGCCTGTGTCCATCTCTCCTTGCCCTTACTTAGATTCCTAAATCATCTCTGAAGGAAGTGATTCACAGACCATATCCCCAAAAACTAGAGAGGCCTGGAGTTCACTAGCTTCACATAATGACAACATGATTCCATAGAAGGCGCTTAGGAAGACAAAGATGCGTCATTGGTATTGCCAAGACATTTTTAGCAAGTTTTGCTAATGACACTGAACTTCTGGAAGTAAGGAACTGGAAGACAAATATTAACTCCTCTAAGGAACTCTGTCAAAGCAACGGTTCTTTTAAACAGATTCTTGCTCTGCATAGCCATCTCCTAAACTTTAAAGGAGCTGTCTGCTAGCAGAGCTCTCCCAGTCTTCACCAAAACCTCCAGACAAAAAACTAGGAGCTCTGAATGGAGAATTTTACTTTGGTTCTGAAATGTTCTGTGGCAACACCCCTGGAATTAAAACTGCCAGTTTATTATAGTGTCCAAGACTTCACTCCAAGTAATCATATATAAAGCCCTTGGGTCCAGAGTTATTCTCAGAAAGCATCTGGGAAAGGTAATCCTGTAGGGAGCTTAGCTTCATGCTGCTTCTGCAACAAACCTTACTTTCCACCAGAACACCTCAAGTGTTATGCTTAGTCAAGCAAGCATACTTCTGCACTGATCCCATGATCTTTGTCTGATCAAACAGTCTGCCACACCACAGACCCCATGCTGGTGGCACATTTCAGAGCTTACTTGATTTTGGCAAACAGCATTTTCTTACTTATCTGTATATAAACTCACAACTCTGTTGCTCAGCAGTTTTCATACTTCAACAACTTTATAGAACATGGAGACCGCTAGGCAGACCATTTTGACACTTTTGACATTGCTTCTCTACAATTCTCAGAAGTGTCACATACACTTTTTTCCAGTTAGTCTCAAATGATATGCCTCATTTCTGAACTGGTTAAAAAGGTGTCACATCAACATCAGTGTGATCATTACTATTAGTCCTGGAATCCAAAACTCCTTTTAAAATTTCCTGGCTCATAAATCCTAGAACACAGTAGTAGGACAACCAACTATCAAGATATATATTATACCTTTATACAATTAAATATTCTGTCACTACTGCCAAGCATTATTTCAACTCAGTGACAGAATCTGAAAAGTCAGCTGTAGGGATATTAATTGGGACTAGCACAACTCTCAAAATACTTTCACAGGCCATATGAACATTATGCGGAAGCAGGTGGCCTGGCAGAAAAGACAGTTGTTCTTTGAGAGTCAATATGTAAATTAAGTTAACTCCTGTTTTTTAGTGTTTGGGAGCATCAGAAAACTATTCTGCTGTCCACTGGAGCTGCCTGGATGAAACAAGAAGGCCACTTCACTCATTAAACTTTTGCAAAAATTCCTCTGAGGAAGTAAAAAAGACATATGGGAGTTCAATACCAGGCATTGTACTGATTTTGACTGGGATAGTTAACTTCCTTTACATCAGTTGGTAGGTGCTATGTTCTGGATTTATGACCAAAAGTGTGGATAACACAGAGATGTTTCAGCTGTTGCTAAGCAGTGCCGGCACAGTGTCATGGCTCATCCTCCTTCTCACATTGTCCCACCACTGAGTTGTCTGGAGGTGCACAAGAAGCTGGGAGGGGACACAGATGGGACAGCTGACCCCAACTTACCAAAGGGAGATTTCACACCGTACAATAATTGTGCTTGCTAATAAAAGCTTTGGGGAAGACACAGGAAATGGACACACACATTCAGTGCATTTGTCTTCCCAGGTCTCCATTACCTGTAATGGAGCCCTGTTTGCCTGGGGATGGCTGAACACCTGCCTGCCCACGGGAAGCAGTGAATAAACTCCTTGTTTGGCTTTATTTGCATGGCTTATTTTCCTTTCCTTCTGTGGTCTTTACTCTGCTTGTTAACCTGTCTCTATCTCAACGCACAAGTTTACTCACTTTTACACTTCCATGTCTCGTTCCCATCCAACTGCTGGAAGATGAGGGAGTGGCTGTGTGGCACCATGTGGTGCCTGCTGGCCAAGGTTAACCACAATGCTACAGGTGAGACAGCTGTAACTGCTCTGGGTATCTAAATACTCTACACTGTGATACTGACTTCAGTTTGTAACTCTGTTAACCTTTAAAAATTAAATTATCCATCGTCAATTACTGTTTCAGAATGGATTAAAAAAAAAATAACAGAAAATCTATGGCAGGACATAGATTTCCTCCCCAGAACATTCACAAAAATGTTAAGACTCTCTGTCATGAGTTTATACAAATCCATATATTACAGCTGTCTTAAAGGAAAGAATTCCAGGTTTTGCAAGGGCTAGTCCCTTTATGTCAGTACTGGGGTCTCTTTTTGTGGTTATTCTGTCTTCCAGGGGTGATGCAAGAAACATTTGGAGTAATTGCTTTGACCAGCTGCTGAAGATCTCTGTACCAAGACACTGACAGCAAAGACACCATTTCTACTTCCAGTCATCTAAGTAAATAGCATTTGGGAAGAGCATGCTGCTAGAGGAATGATTAAGGAAGAAACATGTAAATGAAAATATTAGGATGAAGTAGAAGAGTGTGGCTTGGATTGAGGGAGGAAAAAGAAAAGCCACTGCATGATTTGCTTTGGTGGAATGAAAAACAGCCTGAGATTGGAAATGAAATTGGGAACTAGGGAAATTTTAGAAACTAGAAAACCCCAGAAAGCAGTGCCAGACTTTATGCATCAGAAATAAGGAAACAATGAAAAGTAGCTGGAAAGAATTCCAAGATACTTGAGCCTCATCATTCTTTGTTGGTCAGTACCTGACAAAACTGTAAAAATATCCTAGCAAAACATGCATCACAGCCCCATCAAACTCATCTATACAGAAGTTGCAGGTTATCATTCTCCAATGATTCCTCTAAACACACTCGACAGTAGATCCAAGAGCTCCAACCTTAATCCTAGTAAGACTGACACCTCTATGACTTTTCATGACAGAATTTTCTACTTTCAAAGTCATCAGACCTTTTAACTCTTACACACTATGAAAGTTGAAACCTCAGCACTCTAAATCAGGAATTAAAATGTTACTGCCCCTCAGGCAACACTAATTCAGCCTTCTAACAAAGGATGTTATAATACAATACCATTGCAGAATACCATGAAGACCATTCAACATAATTTGAACATTTGCATCCATTTTTCCATCTCTGGAGATGTTTCAGATGTTTCCAGAAATCTGTATTGAAAGAGTTGGTGCTCATCACAGATCTAGAGGGCAATTATAAATGGATAACAGATAGAGCTCATGGTCAAACTACTCATGGTAGTTCCCTGTCTAGATTCAATTTCAAACTATGGTCCTTCCCTACAAGCCATTCGGTGGAACAAGAGTCAATAACAGAAAAAGCACAGGAACCCACGACCTCAGACCAAAAATTTCACAGCTATTTGATCCTCATTTTTAGAGTGCTTTAATTGAAAGGATATTTTTTCAGGAATCCTGAGTGCATAGGCATGCAATTGGAAATCAATTAGACTAATCATTCAAAAATAAAAACTTGCAACATAAAACTAATATTCTTCTTCTATGCAAATAGAAAATCAAATTAATTAAGAGCCTTTTGCCATACCAGAGCAAGGTGCTTCAAGGCAGTTACTGCCTATACCTATGTATACCTATTTAAAAAAAAAAATAGGTATATATAGATATTACATTTTCTAATTCTTTTTTAGTTTTACATTAATTAAAATATAAACTTAGTTCTTAATTTTCAACCTCAATGCTTTTATAGTGATGTGTTTGAAAATTCATAACCATACATCCCAGCAAATTCACTAACTTTCAGAGGTACAGCAGCAATACTTCCTTTTAAAGAAAACTGACAATTAAGACTGGCTAAGTAAAACAATAAGTAAAGTTATGTCAAATCAAAACACTACGAAAAACTGGAACAGTTTGTCTTCAGTCCTCTGTGCCACAGTAACACACTCCAGACACAACACTATGAATAACCAAAAATATCAGATTCAACTTCCCTTCATAAAGGATGCCCCCAACAGAATGTGCCTTTGAGCTAACAATGCAGGGCAAAAGGGTGAACAACATTCATACCCAGGCACGAGGCCTCCTGTAAAAATGTAGATCTTGTTCTCAAAGACAGTATAAAATAAACTCGGCATAGAGAAAGCAGGCCATTTGCACCGCTGACTTCCAGTCTTAGCAGATGCCACTCTGACAAACTGCCTCATCACAGCTCTTGACATTTCAAATGAAAAAAAACCCAACCCTATGATTACCATATATTAATTACATAGGCTGCGATGCAAGAGTTCATCCTTATCACAGGAAACTTCATTTTCCAGGTGAACATCAACTGTTCCTTGTTAGCCCTGGTTACTCAATCGCTCTTTTCGCTTAATTGGTGGAACTGAACCGTTATTTGTCACAACGCTGTCACTTCTTAGAACGTTCAGTGTAAACCTTTCACTCTACAGGAAATTTTGTATTAGAAAGGTAACTGTCCTAAGTACAAATCGAAACTCAGGGTTTGCGCTGCCGGGAGCTGTTCCATTTGCAAACCAGCGTTTTCTATTAAAGAAAGACTCGACCAGGACAGCGCCGGAGGCGAAACGCAGGGCTCACGCTGCGAGGCGCAGCCAAGCGCCCGCGCCCGCGCTCCGGTGACAGCCCGGTCAGCTCTCCCGATGGCTGACAGCTCCTGCAGGGGCCCAGCCTCGCCTGCCGGCCCGGGGCTGGCCCCACGCAGGGTCACCTCTGCGCCACAGCCCGGGGAGCGCTCTGCCGGTGAGCGGCCCCGGCGGAGCCGGCTCCCCGCGAAGGAAGGGGCGCGCACACACCTACCGTCACCGTCTCCTTGGCAGCGGCCGCCACGGGGATGGGGAGCAGCGCCCGGGCCCCGCCCGGCTCGGCGGCTGCCGGCTCCCGGGAGAGCTCCCGCCGCCGCTCGGACAGTCGGTACCCCGCGAACCCGGCGAGAGCCGCCCCCGCCGCCGCCCAGCCCAGCTCCCGCCGCCACCGCCGCGGCCCGGCTGCCCCGACCCCGCCGCCCCAGAGCCGCCGGGCCGGCGGAGCGCCGGGCGCGGGCCCCAGGCGGCGGCGCCAGCGCAGCAGGGAGCGCAGGGCGGCCATAGCCCCGCTCCGCCCCAGCGCCCGGCGCACCGAGCCCCCGGTGCCGGCAGAAGCCTCGCGAGAAGCGGGGAAGGGGGTGGGGAACCGAGCGGGCCCCGCAGTCTCCGCCCCGCGCCGCCGCCGGGCCGCCCGCGGGCGCTGCTCCGGGACAGGCGGCGGGACGGGCTGCGGCAGAGGCGGGGCGCGGCCCGGCTAGCGGGGATGCGAGGCGGGCAGACCCAACACGGGGATCCGGCACGGAGCTGGACCGCGCAGTGTGAGCCCAAGGGCCGGGCAGGGTGATGCGGGGAGCTGCCGCGAGCGCGGCGGAGCCGTGCGTGCCCCTCGCTGCCTTCTGCCCGCACACCGGGGCCGCGTGTGCTCCGCATCGGGCCCAGAGCCTCGCCGCGTTACACCACGGCCTTGCTCCCGGGCCAGTGTCCCGCACCATGCCCGAGTGTCCTTACCATGTCAACAGCCTCTCCTCTGATAAATATTCTTGGCGACAAGTAGCTTCCTTAGCATAACCAAGGGCTCGTTGAAGACCAGTTGTGAAAGTTGAGCATGATCCTTTGTCCCTGCCTGCTTGGTATTGATGGGCAATAAATCTTGTCAGGCATTTCATGTTAGGGCATTCTTCCATGGTACAACCTGCATCACAACCTACATTAACTTGAAACTTTATAAACTGCACACAAATATTTCACGATACATCACACCTTATGGCATTTTTTTTTTTTGCAATGGCATAGTCTTAATCTTTTTCTTCTTTACATAAGTACATTTTACCCAAGTTTCAGCCACTTATCCTTTCTCTCCCCCCCTGCCCCCCCAAATCTCAAATGACTTTTTCTATTATTATGAACAAGATTTTGGAAAATACAAAAATGATATCTTGATACCCTTTAAGACACGCTCATGTATTTTCAGTCACATTCAGTGGTTATGATATGTGTCAAGGAGTAAGTGTGGGCATCTTTGTCAACTGACAGTCAGTCAGATCATGCAACTGTAAACATGGCCAGGGTTGAGTTACCTCACAGCTATGGCTGGAAAGGCAAGCATCTGGGCTGAATGATGGATTTACTGCATTTCTTTCAAAATTTTAGAATACTGCAAGCCAATTCATTAATCAAGTAATTCACTTGACCTCATTATTCCCAACTGTCAAAAACTATTTTTGGAGTTTTTTTAAAAATAATCTACTGCTTTATTTTATACTTTATGTGTATGACTCCCAAGCAAAATCCTTGTCTGCAAGTCTGAGTTACATCTCTGTACTCAATGACTAAAGGCCAATATGGAGACCAGCATTTATGAGTCAAGGCAATAATAATTTCTGATGCTTAGCATGACTGGAACACAAGTACTTTTCTTGCAAGTACATGACTAAGCATCCAGTCTGGAAAATTTTGTAGAATCTTGGCTCTTGGATCTTATCAGTTCTAGCTGCCTCATTAGGAGACCTCATTCACCAATACAATTAGCTTTTTCAAATAGTCTACCTTTTTGGTTTGACTGGAAGAGAAACCACTTTTGGTCAGTGTGGTGTCCCAAAGTAAACCTGTCAAGAGCTCATCAGTCACCTAAACTGTAGTCATGAACCATGAGTTATCTCCCTGTTCACACTGTTTCCCTGAAATTAATTAGCCACATTTTACTGACTTTTCAATAACACCTTTAGGCTAAAATTTCTTTCACTTCAAAAATTCAATACACATCTGCAACTACTTACACCCAGGTAATTTTAGGCAGAACTCCCCTGGTGAAGTGTTTGCTTAGGAACAAGAGGAAAATTTATTTGTGCAGCAAGTCTAAAAACATACACTGTCTGAACATCTTGTATGCTGAGATTCAGAAAGCATGTCATTTAAATAAATTAATGTTGTTTTAATCCAATGATTCACTTACAGGATTAATAAAAAAAGCTGTCAAATGAGGCATTTGAATATTGATATATGGAAAGAGTGTATTCTCACTGGATGTAGCCATGAAAATATGTGCTCACTGCAATAGTTTCTCTGTTCCATTCTGCATATATAGGGGTTATTCATGTGTGTCAACAAAAGCATGGACAGTGAGATCATGAATCTTAAAAAGCTCTATGAATTTTTTTTTTTCAATTAAAGAAATAAAACAAAGCATGAAGGTGGAAGAACTTCCTTCCCACAGGAAAAAAAAAATCCTTGTTGCTTTTTCCTCATCTGCGTTTCTTAAATAGTTAAATAGAAATATACATATATGTATACATACCTGCTATTGTATCTGTTCAGAAGAGAAAGCTTTCAATGTTTTAAAAATCTGCATGTATTGCATTTTAAAGGTCATCAGATTATGCCCTAATTTGTAGATGGAGCCTTGGAAAGGTTCTGTTCTTCACAGTGAATTCTGCATGAAAATACATCTTTTTCCCACTCATAGTAACTTGTGCATGTTCTGGTCACCTTCCTGAAAGCAGAGAACCATATTTTTGTGTCCAAATCTGGGAAGAATCTGAGACTGGCCATGATACACAGGTATCTCCAGCTGGACATATCCCTTTGGTGCTACTCCATGGTTTTTGTTCCACCAAATGTTTGCTTTCTTATGTATTCATGAACCCTCCCTTTCCAATATTTTATTATATCATTAAAAATTTATGGCTGGCACAGAACTGTTATGAGGGAGTTCTAAAATTAACAAAGGTGCAATAAATTGTAGGACCTAAAGTTTAATAGCTTACGGGAGTTTTTTAGATATGCAGATCAATCTGTCTCTCCATGTATGTATAGACTATCTATGAAAAATTTCAGTCATTAATTCTCCACTTCTTTGGTAGCCACTAGGTTTTGCTTATGACAACATGCTATTCTTAGGCAATATACAGTAATTGTATTGTCTCTAGAAGTCCTAACTACTTGTATGGAAATAAAATCTTGACCACATATATATTTGTTCAATGACACTGAGAGTGTCGTCTCTAGGAAGTATTCATAGAGTTGATTAGATTGTACTGTATACTTTAAGTTGAATTATGTACTCTTGTAAAAAAACTCTTCAAAATTATTTAACTTCCCATGGTATAGTTTCAGAAGGTGCAAAAAAAAATCTTTAGCGTTATCTTTTCCTGTCACATGGCTAGTGCAAACACACACACACAAAATCTTATCTTTTTGTTTCTTTTCTGGTACTTTATAAAACAGCATAACCGGTTTAGTTCCCAGACATTAAAGACTCCACTCAGAAAAGATCAGTGTTATGTATTCCGTTCTACTTTAAATGTTTCCATTATATAACAGGAAAGATTTAGCCATAAGGGTCTTTCAGTGTGTGATTGCTGAAGACTTTTTTTTGTTCGAAATAACCCCAACCCTTCTCCACTGGAGACAGTGAATGTTATCTGAACCGTAGACTCCTCTACTGTTTGCAGGAGTCAAGGGTACTGCTTGGACCCAGGAACAGCATCTGTGTGGGAGCATCTTTGGGCTTGGAACAAGATACCTCCTCCATTTAACTGTACCATCCTGCTGCATGTCCTGCAACTCAACAGCTGTGATGAGCAGTTTGATCTTGACCTGTCAGTCATGTCAATAAAAATACTTGATGTTTGTTTCAAACGTTTTTGGTGTATTTGAGTAGTCAGTGAACAGGCTATTTGAGAAATAGGTGCCATATAGATTATTCAACTTTGATCTATTTCTTTGATTTAGCACTACAATTAAGTAGATTTGCTTCAAAGAGAAAGCTCATTGGTTGATGTTTTACACTGATGTGATAATGTTTACACAGATGTGCTTTGAAATCTCGATTATGGTGGATTTTTGGGTCCCACCACATGACAGGCTCCTGTTATCTGAAAGGTAAAATAATATAACATCTATCTGTAACTGCCTTCAGAACAGGTCTGCCTGTGCTCTCCTCTGAGGTGATTTATCTGATCATTGTATTTAGCATTAATTTTTTCAGTTTTAAATCCCTCCACAGTAAATCACTTGCTTTAAAGCAGCCTTTTTATAATTCAGGTGCACACAGGGGCAGTACTTAGGACTGCAATGATGAAAAGGTGTCACATTACCTGCTTTAAAGCACCTGCCAATTAATTAGCCCTATACTCTCCATAGCAAATAAAGGTAAGCAGTCAAATCCATTTGATCTCTCAGATTTAGACTGTGACTGAAAAGACCATGAAGCAAGATGGGAGAACTAATCTCTCATGATTCTCTGCAACTTTTTTGTTTAAATGAAACCTTAAACCACCAAGCGATTCTCTTGAACTTTTGAAAGAATTACCTATGAAAGATCTTTACATTTTATACTCTAATACCATGTTTTAACATTGGCAAAGAACTGCATATCTTAGATGCTGAGATAGCTCATGTCATTTAAGCTCTAAAATTCATTAGACTTTACAGAAAAGTCAGGAAAGATGGCAAAAGTCAAACTCTTAGATTTAATTCAGCGTTGTTTTACCATTGGTGAATATGTTTCCCACCAAAATATATTTTCCTGTGTGAACCATTCTACTCTGGGGATGAAAAAAGCGCATATGCTCCTCTGGAACAGGACAACAAAGTCCCAAACCGATTCAAAATATCGCAGAACTACAACAGGGATCTTTCAGTACATAATATTGCTAATTTATGATGCTCACAGACCTTGGCTACGGGCTCAATAAAAAACCCCAAAGAAGATGGATTAGATGAGCCACAATCTTTCTTTCTTCTTCTCTGCAAAAGATTTGAAAATACTTATCCCAAACTATGGGGCTGCCCATTTATGTTTTTAACACCTCCTGTCAATACCCAAATACGATAGATCAGTTTAGTGTCACATTAATGATAAATGCGAGGGAGAATTTGCAGAGGGGAAAGCACCTCCCTGACTATGCCAATTTCTTTAGAAATTCCCCTCCTTGTAGTTGAAGCGATAAAAGGGAAGCGTAATGCATGTACATTTTATTAGCGTTTTAGAAACAGGGAGTAAAGCTGTCAGATCTTCGGGTTTTTTCTTTCATGTGTGTCTGGGCAGGTCTAACCCTCAGG